CCGGGGCGGGGGGCTGCGGGTCGGGACACCCCGCCCCGGGACACCCCGGACCGCGTTCAGGAGATGCTGCCCGGCCCTCCTGGCACCACCTCCACTTCTCCCATCCAGGGCACTGTGCCAGCACATCAGCCCTTCACCGGGCCGAAACTCCGCTTATGTTATCCCGGATTGATGATGATCAGAAATCAGGGATTTTTATTTGGTTTTAATTATCAGTTTCCCAGGCGCCAGGACAGCATCCAGGCTTTTCCGCGTTGGTGTGTTTCGTTCCGGCGCCTTGACCGGGCTCAGAGCCGAGGGCAGACCTATTTCTGCCAGTGCTCCAGTCTGCGCTATGCAGCGCCCCGCCACGGGTCCCGTCCTGCCTCTGCCCTGGGCCGTCCGACCTGAGCTCCTTGCAGGGCAATGATGCGGAGTCGGATGGAGCTGGCTGTGGTCAGTCCCAAATGATCTTCTTAACTTCTTTCCTAGTTTCGGCAGTCCTGGCATAGACAGATCAGAAGTGCCTCTTGCACGCTGTATTTCCCACTCACACCTTTTATTGGGCGAATAATTCACTGAACAACCCCTGTATTTCACGAGTTCGGTCCTTAACATTTGAGCTTTGGTTCAGAGTTATGTCTCAAATTCAGTTTGCCTGCTCTGCTTCCAATCAGAGAACAAGTAATAAGCCTGCCTGCAGTTGCTGTTGCAGTGTGAGTAACCCCAGGATGCTAGAGGGAAATGCTAGCTGAAAATAGCTGCTGAGGGACACAGACACACTGCCCATGTTGGGGAAAAGGTCTGGTGCATGGGCAGGTCTGGAATAGGATGGAGAGAACCTGATGTGATCACTGCCCCATAGTCTGGACCAGCTTCAGGGCTTGGAGCAAAAGCAGCACCCAGCACACTCGCAGTGTAATAGGAGGGGGAAGGAAGGGAAAGACTGAAGTTTTTTGCCTATACTTGGAAAACAGGACCTCATGGAGAACCGGGCTGAGGGGGCTGCCTTCTCTTACCCTAAAATCTGCTGAGGTGGGCTCTGGAGATTATTGTTCCTCTGCTTCATTTCCCCTGTGTCTAGCTTGCTCCTATAATTCCACTGGGTCTTTTCCAACCCTTGGGGGGAAGAGTTAACACAACAGAAATCCTGACCACTCTCTTGGCAGTGTTATCTCCATCATACAACAGGCCTGCAACAGCCTGGGAAGGCAAAGCTTTGCTGGAGGAGAAAAAACCATCATGCTCCTTGAAATCTAAGACTGGGTGATATTGCTGAACTCAAAAATATTTTAAAACTGCTAAGATATTCCTTGGTAAAGTGTATCTGTTCTCAGTGTAACCCTGTGGAAACATACACCTTAGCAGATAAATGGGTACTTCCCTCTCCTTCTAGAATTCACCCTCTGCAGACATACATGAGAAGGAGTCTCTTAACGGCCATATTTTACAATTTGTTGGAAATGAAAGGAAAATTAAATCAGTTGCTATTTCTTGTAGTAATCAATGTTTGCATGTATCTTTCTAGGGCTGAAAGGAAATAGTCACATTATCACCCACCTTTGAGACAGTTGCTGTCATCACCAGACTTGTTGTTTTTTTTAAATTTATTTCAAAGTAATGTTTCATGTTAAAGAATTTGGAAGGGGAATGATGCAACGGTTTGCCCGGACATACCACAAAAAACTGGTACAACCAGCTTGACCTGAACCTAGCTATGGGGAGTCCAGGCTAGTGTGACAGGAGCACTGCTGGAAGTTGTACATACTCTAACTCGCAGTGAATGTATTGTAGGGTTTTGAAGTCCAGCATTCAACAGTTAGAAATTTAGGCATTTTTTTTCCCTGATGTTTTGATGTTTTAATATTTTGGGTTTTTTCTTCTTCCCCTCCTTCTTTCTATTTTTTTTTTTCTCCCACAAAGTACAGAATGCGTGTTTTTCCCCCTGCTCATTCAGTGCTTGAGACTGGCAGTGTTCAGCTCCCTATTTAATATTCATCTTACTGTTAGTTTTGCAACGAAATAAGGAATATGCAGTCGCTCTGCTTTTCCGTCTGTCATTTTCAATGACATTTTCTGTCAGTGAATCCCGTGTTCAATGCCAACCACCCAGCTGACATGGCAGCTCTGCGAGGGTCTCCAAATGTTGAGTTCTTACGAGTTCTGCAGAGTTTGGCAGCTGGGGACAGACCTGGGAGAAACCTCACCTGCCATCCATCAGTCTGGCAGGAATGGGCTAAACTGTAACTGCGGGTCAGTGGGATGTCTTTTGCCCAGCAGCCTACTGGAAGAGGATGTCTACAGGTGGAACAAGATGGTATCACAGAGGCAGCTCTTGAGACAGAGGGTAAGGTTACCACAGGGCTGGTAACAAAAGCTATATAGGAGGCTGAAGGGCCTGGAGGACATGGGACAACACCTTTAACCATTCAGTATAGTCCCAAGACTTATTTATTGAAAGTGCAGTGAATAACAAACAAATGTTACCCTCGTATTTTTCTTTGGTACTGGTCACAACGACGTTTGAGAGCACAGGAAACATGACTGCATTTATCTTTATGACTCCCGTGGGAGCAATAAATTTGCTTCTATTTAGACGTCGAGAACGAAACCTCGCAGAGATTCAGACTGCCGCTGTGGATTGCCCACAGGTCGTCAGGCTTCATACAGCTTCCCAACCTTACTCCCGCGTTAGCACCTAGTGTGACCTGGGCACGGTGCCGACATACTCCAGCTGCAGTTACTGCGCTGGACTGCGCGTTGTCCGCCAGATACGCCGCAAATCGGGCAGTCAGGAGAAGAGGAGCATGAGCTGGCTGCCACCGCTGCTGCGGGAGCCGCTCCCCGTAGCATAAAGACAGCAGAGGAGCTGCCTGTTCCCCGACGTACTGGTTTCAGAAAGCGATGTGTGTCCCTGGTGGCTTTCAGGTATGGGACAAAGGCAAAGGCAAAGTCCCCGCGGACCTTCTAGGCCGCTGAGACCCACGGGCACCCTTCGCCCTCCTCCCCCCGGCAGGCCGGGAGCCGCGACTGGAGGGGCGCGTAATTAAATCCGTGCGTTTGCACGAGGGATGCGAGTTATGTGTGCCAGTGACCTCGCTACCGACCTTCTGTAACCTTTCGGGGCTTGAATGAGCAAGCATGGCATTCCTCCAACGAAGCTCCCCCTCCTTAGGCACTTATTTGCTTCCTTTAATTCGATTTAACTCTCTCCAATTAAAAAACTCAGAGGAGGAAAACATCCGTCCTGAAGACTTCGGTCTGCACAGCCGCGATCAGATCCACGGCACAGACCTCTCCGGTTGTGAATCCCCTGTTGGAACCTGCTACCATCCTTTGACCGGACCTGTTTACCCAAGGGCAGCTCCGGCCGCTGGCTGCCGGCACTTGGCAGAGGGAGGATCACCTCTCTCTCCCGGCTGCTCTCTCCAGTCCTGCTCTGGAGTCCTCCCGGGGGCTGCCGTAACCTTTCCCCGGTACGGGAGCTCTTTCCGCAGAGCCCAGCACCGGCGTCTCGCACCTCCGCAGCGGACTTGAGGAGCGCAGCTCTTGGTGGCAGTTCCCTGCTCCCATGGCTGTGTGGCTGGGGCTGCGTGGCAGGACACGTCCTGCAGGGACCCCCAGACCGGCAGGCTCAGCGGGCCCCACCGGCTGCGGATCTGCCCCGGGGTGGACGGAGCGGGCTCGCCCCCCTCAGCCGGGGCCTGAGCAGCGGGTAGCAAAGTGAGGGATCAGGAAGAAGTGGCTCACACCGCAGGGACCCTGAGGTCCAGGCCAAGGGACTGCGGGTGTCTCCCTTCCTCAGTAGCTCCGGTTT